CTCTTGGGACCGGCCAGTCTCGGACTCTGGCCCGCATGCCTAGGGGCACATCATCTCAGGAGAATGCCAGGCACACACCCAAAGCAGAGCCAGCTCATGCTGCAGGCGCCTCCTGGGATAGTCATGCCTCTGCGCCACGGGATAGTGCGCTGCGCACCGCCAAGCACACAGGCGGCCAGCAGCACAGAGCCAGAATGAACCGCAGGCAAAGCAACAAGTCCAGCTCTGCCAGCAAAGGAAGGCTTACTGGGTAAGAATGACAGACAAGTGCCCTGCAGTCTACTGTACAATGTTAAGCTTGTCAGGCTATTCAAACCATTCAAGTTCACAGTACTTTTGGAAGAATTTGTGACTTGCAGTCCATGTGGTTTACTATAAAGTGGAGGCCCACTTAAGCTGAATCTTAAAGCACACCAAGTGATGATGCAACTTAACCCACAACAATGGTTAAAAACTGTGGCTCCATAACAGCACAAATCTACTTGGATACTGGACATGCCTTATGAAAGAACATTGTACATGCACACAGAGAGCCACTGTACTGAAGTCAAATTCCTCATGGGTTCAACACACCTGATTCTGATTCTGAATCTTGTATGTATTTTGTCATCAGAGTCAGGGCAGGACACGGAGTATAGCTGAGGTTAAAGGCTATGCTGATTACTGGGCTGACAGTGGAAGCATGCAGTGAACAACAAATGAGTATATAAATAGGTGAATTATATTTGAACTGCTTTAAGACTCATGCAGCATTACATTATCACAATTTCCTCCCATTACCACACAGTATAGTTGGAAACTGGCTGCAGACTACTTCAGTGTGTGTGTTCCAGTTTTGTGTTGTTGCCTGTGGCCATGTACTGTAGTGACTCAACTGGAGCATTGGCTGGTGAACATATGCAAATATGCTTAATGATCAGAAGCACCTGTTTCTCCTATGACATTCTCTTAGTGCTCCCCCCACAATTTTTTGTCTGTGTTACACAGGATGGGTTGTTTTCATATTAAAGCTCTTTTCTTTTTGTTAAATGAACCCTGGTACAGCCAATCCTGCTTGTTCCATTGGAACCAAGCATTATACACACTGGAGGGGAGAGTGTTAAAATAATAACTAGTGGGGTCCTTGAATGTCTCACCTTGCAGGCAGTGAAATAGAAATGAAATATCTCTTTTGTGTGTCATAATAAGCCCCCCCTGCTTTAGGGAAACTGAATAAATATAACCAATTTATTGAGGGTTGGGACAATTGGTTTGCAATCTGTAGACAATCTGTAATCTATAGGCCTGTGCTAAGCCTACATAGGAAGGACTAACACTTATACATTACAGCTCATTAACACCTCACCCAAACTGGATTCACCATCACTCACTAAAAACAACATTTCTGAACATTTCCATCAGCCAGACAGCTGCACTGCTGCATGGTTGAATTGAGGTGCTGTCTATTTTAGAGCTATACATAAAGAAAATAGCTGCCACTTGTATTAGATCCAACATGCTTTATTGCAGCATGGGGCAAATGCCTTGCTTGACATTGCCAAAGAACATATTCTAGTGTTGAATGAATAGGGTTCTTTGAGTTTTACAGAAGCACAAAAGTGGCGTTACATTAATGTGTGGGAACAGCATGAGGATTTTAAAACTTTGATTCATTAGCTTTTGTTGCTTGTTAGAGAAAGTGTTTTAATTACTTCTTGGAATTCCTACTCAGCTTACTCATTTACTGCACCCGTATCATAGGCCGTTCTGGGTTTACTTAACTCTCCTTTCATTTAAGTTAACTTAGTATGACTCCCCTTCTGTTTTCAGTGCACCTGTCAGATGTCCGACTGATCCAGATAGCTCAGCCTACTCAGGTTAAACAAAAACACTGCATGTTGTGAACAAGGTGTTATTTGTATTTTAACCTGGGGCATGATGTTAATTATGTTTTATAAAGTTCTCAGTTACATACAATATATTGCCTGATGGAATTTGAATGTGATGACTGATGTCTTTGGCACGAGCCTGGCCTGATGTGTTTGATTTATAACAAAGCTAAGTCTGCCAGAGGGCCCAAAAATCTGCATGTTATCCCTGTGATGCCTCATTAGCAGGGACTCCAGCTGAGTCAATCCACGTTATCGTCTCAAATCACCATGAGTCAGACATCCACTTACTGTAATATCTTGTGAAAAGATGATGGGTCACAGATCCATGCCAGTGCAGTGACTGCTGCCCTCACAATGGTCTTGCGGTCTGTTACCTTTTCATCTACCTTGCTAGAAAATTGGCCTGTGCTGTAGGTGTGGATTCAAGAATGAAAAGAATCCAGTTATTATAACTGTTTAAAACTTGTCATCTCTGATTTGCTCAGTGATTTATAGAAGATGCAGGGTGCTTTTCATGTCCCGTGTGCCTCACATAATCCCTGCAAGGCTCAGATAACTCGGTTTGTTTTCACTCTGGACTCTTGCATAACAGACAGTGGGACTTGTAGGTCCACTAGAGTTTCATGACTTGCCCTGAAATATTTATCAAATAAAATGCAATTACAGCATAATCTCAAAACTGTGTATTTGGGTCCATAGGCCAGCCACATTAGAATGATCTGAAACTATAATAACCTTTGCAATTGGTTTGTCACATGAAGGTTTTAGGCCTTTCACCCTCAGTTATTGCTCTATGGGTTATGAAAATGCTGTATATATTGATGTGTGCTTGAAAATAGTGCTGTTTGTGTCTTACTTACAATGTTTTTTGTGGGTCTTCCTCTGATTAGACCTAATGTCTGTGGAGGTCAGCAGTGCTGCTCCGGTTGGGCGTTCGCACCAGGAACAAGTCGCTGCATAAAACGTAAGTAAAAATGTATCTGACTTGTATTTTAAATAAGTGTAATTTGCTGAATATTCTTTCATTTATTTACTGAATACAACAGTTATGTACATGCTTGGCAACCAAGGTCATACATGGCTGTCAAGTGACACACAAGTACACTGACATGCATTAAGTATATTTGAGATTTTTGAGTAAGTAAACTTCACAGGCAGAGAGAGTTTCCAATTTTATGCACTCAGTATGAAAAATAAGCATGAAAAATAGTTAATAATAACTATCCTGTCAAGTGAAATTGTCCTATGAATGTTTCCCTAGGTTGTGCTTGCCCCCATGGTCGTGCTCATTGTCTGGTGTTTGCCTTTTCTTTTCATGTGAGATCCTCATATGGAAATTGCCAGCACTTAGCACTTGGCTCTGTTTTTGACACAAGCCCTTAATTATGGGTGGAACTGCTTCTTCTTTTATTTGACCACAGCAGTATCGGATATCCCAACAGCCAGATAATTAAAAGTGGAGCAAAAGACACAGACTGCGAATGAGTAATGGGCCATTATTTAAACGCAGTATTGTATGTAGACTGTCATAGCAAAGTCTCATCTTGTTACACCTGTCTCTGATAAAGTCATCTGCTGCAGACTGAAATAACAGGTTGGAAAGAAAGTGTTATCTTTGAATTTTACAAACAAAGTAAGTAAAAACCCACATGGCAAGCAGCATTTCTTTTTCTGTTTCTGTGTATGTATGTATGTAGCAATTAACTACATAGGTAGCTATACTTCTTTTTAAAACTTGTTTACTCTTTTCTGTTTCTTCTTTGCTCACACACATTTCAGCTGAATGGCCCTAGCAGCCTCCTAATTAGAGCTCCTTCCATCCTGTGCAGTGCAAAGGTTCATCCCATGTTTTCTCAAGTCTTAGCTAAAGGCATACTTAGCAAGGTGTAAATTACATCTAGCATGGAGCTGCAGTTACTCAAATAAATACTTATAATCTGCCAGAAAGTAACAGGTCCAGTCTAACATGCTTGTGTTAAACAAGGCAGTGTGTCTGAACAGGTTAGAGGTCTCTCCAACCATCTGGACCCTCTTACAGCTTGGCTCTCACCCAGGTCTGACTGGAGGCTAAGCTATCATCAGCTGAGTGAAGCCCCACAGCCGGCAAGGTGCCAACACAAAAAGCCTCAGACTGAAGCTGGGAATAGAAGCCCCCATGCAGAAGACCTCCGTGGAGGAAAACAGGCTCAGGCTATCTTTGCTCTGTGTCCACCTGAGACCCTGACTGCTTTATTAGGAGGTGGCAGCATGAGAAAACGTTCACAGTGGGGGAAAGAAAAGGAACAAGCCTTTTGGCTTGGAACATAAGTCAAAACACATCATGGCTGAGCTCTGTCTAGGAAATTTCTTGCTGAAGAGATTGAACTAATGCCAAATTATTTAAAGTGTCAGCTGCAGGCCTTGCCCACGAGGCTGGCTTGGGTGCATAGAGTTATAGATTTCTAACAATACCTCTTTGTTTAGTTTTGGTTGAGCTCAGAGCAAATACATGACAGGATTGGATCACTAATTGTACCCTTTTTTATTAAAAGGTCTGTGTCTGGGTCTCTGTGGGTTTGGTTGGCAATCATTATCTGGCTTTCTGAAGACTCAGTCCTGCCCATAGTCTGGCAGGTTTGGTGCTGATGGCCTCTGTTTTTGACTTCAGCATGGATGGTTAGCAGACTTGTTTGTGTATTCAAGCAAATTCCATGTGCAGAAAATAGCCATTGTTGTGAAGAAGGCTTTGATCTATTAAGGAGAACATAACATTGCATTTCCACTGCTGAGTCATGTTTATTTCTCTTCTTGTGTGTAATTAGATATTAAATTTCATAGGTTTTTATGTTTGAGGTTTTACCCAACTAATGCTGATTTTAATAGTGGTGTCCTAAAGCCGAAGTTGTGTGTGTGTGTGTTGTGGTTGGCTGGTAAAGTGAGGCCAGGTTTGCTTGGCTCTATTTCTAGCTGTTTACTTGCAAGCACAATCAAAGCTCCCGTCAAGATGACTGGAGTACGTACACTGTCTTGAGATGCACATCTGGTCAACAGAAGTACTGTGATGAAAAGCAGAAGGAGGCCAAACTGTAGCCCCACCCAGTCACAGCCCAGCAGTAGTCCTGCATGAGTTAGACAAGACTGTCTGTCACCTGCATTATATGGAAATGTCAAAACTGTCTTGACATGAAAACTAATGGAATGCTTGTAATGAAGACTTTAGATTCAGTGTTCAGTTTCTAAAATGTCTTCAGCTTTAATGCAAATCTCTAGAGAAAATCTCCTGGTATTAACAGGATTCAACACTGATTTAAAGCAAGCTTCACCAATAGATCAACAACATTCATAACATATGCCAGTAATAGTAAACTGTGGGAACATTCTTCACTAAACAGTAATTGCTGAAATAGAAAACAGTATGTTGATTGAATAAAATTCATACCGTTGGTTTGCATGGGGGAAAGACCTCAGAAATCTATTTATAAAACAGTACATGTAAGTTACTTAGCTGTGGAATTACTGGTATGTTTTACAATAAATACAAAAACCAATTAGATATTGTGTACATAGGTGTACAATTACTGTTTTGAAGTTTTGGTTTATGACATTCCTGGAAAAAAATTATAGTAACAACCTTTTTGAAGCCCATGTTACTGGAGAATGTACAGTATTTAATGTGTATCTGAAGTCATTTATCTGTGCATTCTTGAATGTGTATTTCACTCGAACTTTGCTGTAACTGAAGTCTCGGATAGGCTACCAGGTAACACATACATTTGTTGGTCTGAGTTCTGTGGCAATCTGGGAGTACCTATTAGTTTTACTACAAGATTATAGCAGCTTGTTGATCCTGTAGTTATCGTAGACCCAGTGCTGCTCTGAGCCACAGTGGATTAAGGAGATTGACATCTTTCTTTTTTTTTTTTTACAGTAATGGTGGCTCATGGGAATGTTGAATAGTTCCAAACACTAGGAGCAGCGCCATATTGCTAAACTGACTTGGCTGCTGTTGTCTAAAGTAACAAGTTGAAATCAGTAGCAATAATTCAACTTGTGATGTTTTAAGTTAGCATCATGTGCTATTGAAGTAGCAATTTGGTGGTAAAAGTCCCACTGTTCCTTACAGAAAACAATGGATCTTAACCGGCTGTTTGGAGGTATTTGAAACTACATAAGTCATGTGACCCGCTACCTTTTTTGATAGTGTCACAACTCAAGTCTATACTGTTAACTTCATAGAAGTCCATGATATCCGTCCAATAATTTTCAGTAGCATGTGGTTGCACTAGGGGAAAATATGTTTTGATCATCAACATTACAATTCATTCGATAAGTGTCTGCATTTCGTAGCAATTTATTCAGTAGTTTTTAAAAAGATATTTCACTCTGTGCCAAAGTGCTGGACAGTCTAAATATATGCTACAATTGCTTAAATGGAGTGCTAGGTGTTGTAGCTCATATTGTAGATTACATTATCAGACTTCCTTCGAGTTGCTCTTTCTGTTTCAATTGAAATGGCTGTTTTAGTAGCTGGATTAATGGCATGGTCTACTGTACCACACAGATTCAATGTATGGGACAGTGTAGAAGGCTTAAACCTGGGGAATACTAGGGCAAGAGTCCCTGGAGTATCAACAAGAACTGGCCTTACATTTGACCTTAGCTCAAACTATAGTGATCTTGAAAGTGCAGCCAAATTGATTTCACTACACTATACTGTACATCACAATGTTTTGCTGAAAAAATGCAGTATATATGGCAACTTGCTGCAACTGAGAACATGACCCACCCCCCAAAAAGCACACACAGATGCCCCTTGATTTAAGCCTGCTGGCGTCTTAGAGAATGCAGATGAAAGGTGCACCATTCACATGGTGGAATAAAGTTGTTTTCAGTCTCTTAAGCAGCCGGTGATTTACCAAGTGAAACATGGCAGAGAGGACTTTCTTTTTGATTGCTTTCCAGCTTTCTTTTGCCTGCTGTGCCACTCAGGGCCCCATCCCAACCCGAAAATAACTCCTTTCTCTCTCGATTATCTCAAGGCAACTCTTCCTTTCTTTCCAAATAAAAAGATGTAGCATGTAGAATGTAGAAAATGTGACTCTGATGGATGTCAAAGCCATCACATTCATGTGATAATAGTTTTAATGGACAAAATAGCAGTATACTCCTAGCAGTATAAAAACTACCCATTTTCCATTAATTGCTGAGTCATTTATCACAGATGCTCTTTAAATATAATTTTGTGTGTGAAATACATTTAATGCTCTCTTTTTAGCTACAGCATGTGTCAAGCAGCTGGTAAAGTATCAAAGACATGTACACATGTGAACGTTTTCTGACTTCCAAAACAGCACCCAAAAATGTAGGTTCAACACAGGTTCTCACAGTTTGCTTTATTCTTACCTCTGTGATAACTGAATATCCAGACACACTGAACCTAATCTTACAGTAAAATCCGAACTCATTCGGATGAGACCACATAATGAACTTCAGTGAGTTGGCAGTTATACATCCATAGCACTGTGGTATTTGCTCTTATGTTAAGTCACATGTAGCCTATGTGTTTGCAGTGTACTGTTAAAGGTTTGTAATGCCATGAAAACTTAACACAATAGTACAGTATATGAAATGCAGCAAGAGATCATGAGTCAAGCATATGATACAGTGAGTCACCAGGGCCTTCCAGTTGAATAGCACTGTTAAAGGCATTTGTTTTTCAGCAGAGTTACTGTAGATATGATGAATCAATATCCTGTGGAAAATGTGCAGTTTTTCATCAAAAGCACCCCATAGGCACATTGCAGAGCTGAGTCTTTGCTTCTCTGTACATTTGCACTTATTCTGCAGCACTGAGGCATTCGGATTACAAAAAACTGAAAAAGGAAGAAACTTTATTTTCTCAAAGGTTGAAAGAAAAGACCTAAGCCCACCAAAAACCCGGCCTTATGACCACCTCTGTTTTATGAGAACAGGAGCCGGTTTCAGAGATGCTGTTTCCGGTGATGTTACTGAGCTGAGGTTGAGATTACTGCAGTACAGACAGCCACATAGCCCTCCTCGGGGTTAAATGTTTCACATAGGGATGTGTGGGGGTCGCATAGTTCACAGTTCAGGGGCATAACATTCCCTTGGCAGCCCCCTAGAGAGTTATGGCCCATTTGACAGATCCTGTAATCAATACACGCCCCATTGTTCCAGACCCCATCATTAAAATAGATGCTGGACAGCCTGCTCTCAGTTTGTCTCCCCAAACCAGGAGTGCGGCTTTCTCCACTCCAGCTGGTGTGACTGTTTGTAGGTTGCAATTGGATCCTGTTTTGGGGCCATGCACCACATGTTTTTCTAATTGCTACCATAGATAAATGTGTTGAAAATGAGGTACTTCTCAGTGTCTACACCTTCTTGTAGAATTTAATTTTTGTTTATTTATATATCTTTGCTCCTGACCTGTTGATAATAAGGAAATAATGAAGAGAGAAGTAGAACAAACTTGGACATGTCAAGCTGAAAAGTATTCTTCAAAAAACACTTGCTTGCTTCTCATTTTTTGATGCAAGCAAGTACAAGTGTTTGCAAACGTCTCTCAGCAGCAAGTCTAAAAAGCAAGACTGGACTTGATTGACACTTACAGAGTAAAGTTAACAACAGTCACAGAGGCCACAGTGTTGTTAGGACAGCCCGTGGCTAACTGTATATCATACAACCCTCGTGCTTAAAGACCATATGGAAGCTGTTGGGATACGAACCCTCAGGAGGACTGAATTTGTGGGTTGTTGGTGAACACCACATCTCACAAAGTTAGCTTTACAAGTTGTGGACACACGCCCCCCCAGAGCCAGATATCCTCCTGCATGTGGCTCATTAGAAGCTGAACATGGGAGTTTTAGGGGTGCTATGGCAGCACGATATTGTGCGGCTCCAAGTAATATACACATTGCCATGGGTCATAGGTTAAAATCTTCCCACTGAGTTGAGGTGGGTTAGGAGAATAAAAACTCCAACTACTGTGTTGGATCAAAAAACCCACACTGTGAAAAATGTGCATATGACAGATGCACCTTAATTTGGTGAAATACTACCCTTGTAAAGTTTACCAGAAAGAAAAAATAAAGGATTAGATGAATACTGCCAGGTGCCCTCCATTCTGCTTTTAATTAGAGCAATAGAGACTTGAAACTTCAAATGACAGTATGCAGAGTTACAGTAAGAGCACTTGGGTGTAGGAAACAAAGTTAGCCTTTGGCACGTCTCAAATGAAAGCACTTGGACTGGCAGCCATGTGGAAATCACAAGTTGTAAAGAGATTAACACTCACTTGAAATGATAATCATTGAGAGGCAATTGCATTAACTGCTCAACAGACCAATTCTTACTTCTTCAGTGGATAGTGCGTCTGGATGAGGGGTGAATTTTTAAGCTTGTCTCTCTCCAACTGCCTCCCACAATCTTAAACACTTGACCTATTTTTAATGTGATCTGTCAGTGGTGACTCCTAAAGGCAGCCTCCTGCTGTCATCACAGTTTACCAAACTATGGATTCTGAGAAGTTGCGACTATTTGTAGAACCTTGTTTAAACTGCATATTCATTGCTGTTTGTCAAAACTAATCGCAAACCACTCCTGGTTTGAGAAGACAAAACATTGCATCCAAATCCAGATACACACATTGTATTGTTCTGACTTTATCTACTGAATTACATTAAGCAACAGCCAGTCAGAGGCAACTGTGGCAACCACAAATTATAATGCCATTTTAGTTCTCATTCTTATTTCTTAATTTTCTGCCTCTTATTTTCCGGGTTTGAAAGGCATTTAGTCAAACCTTTTGTCATATTATATTACATTTGGAGCAGCTTCCTATGTCTTAACCTCATAATCGCACATAGTACACTCAGCCTGTAGAGAGTCCTTTCCAAAATCATTGCAATTACAGTATGCAGTCATTATCAATATTATTGTCACAACTGTCAGCTTGCAGCTGTTAGCACCACTGACCTGTGTAAAGTGAGGAGATTTCTCTAGTTGAATTATGCCAGATATTGGTTTCAAATTGCCCCTTGCCGAGTAAAAGGGCTGTAAAGATTTGATGGATTGAATTACTGTGAGTCAGACAGAGGGGAAGGTGAATCTCTAGTGGATTGTAATGGACTGGAAATGAGCACTAAGCTGGAAATGAGAGACCAGTGGAGGGAGGACCAGAATTTTCCATGGATATACATGAACAAGCAAACCTACACTTATAGCACATAACTGTAACTCAGAGAAATTATGATCAATATTTACCTCAATAAAGACCCTGGGGTTCCTTTTATATAGGTACAGATTTGCTGCGCATTTGCCTCAAATCCAACCAAGAACTTTGGGAATAAAAGTACTTACATTTCTTCTGTTTATATTACCAACTGCACCTGTTTTTATTTGGAGAAGTACAAACATTGCACTTCATTTTTAGTTGGAAGTTGTGATAACAATAGTGATATAGTGATAACAGTAAGGTCTAGACCTTAATTTGTAAAGTGTCCTGAGATGACTTTTGTTGTGATTTGGCGCTATACAAATAAAATTGATTTGATTTGATTTTGATTTTATTTTATTTGTGATGGACTCTCATTTTATTATTACTCTCGCAAAGTAATAATTGCTGCACATATTAGCAAAATGGATGTAATGCAATGCAATTAATTTTAATTATGTGAAAGACAAATCTACACCACAGCAATTACTGCGACATTGTATTCAACAGCCCAGAGTCAGGGCCCAGACAGGCCAGACATAGATAGTGACACTGTTTGCTGCAGCCATGCATTTCAGTTTTGTGCCTCACAACTGAAAAAACTGGTCACACACACAGTAAGCTGCCTGTGACCCTCCAGTTATTGCTTAATTTTTTATTTGGTGCCTTACACTGCTTCTAATTTCAATGCAGACAGTTCAGTTGACAGTGCAGTTTCACGCATTACAGAGTTCTCCATCTACAGCATAATGTCAGTGGAATCTATGGCCTGTTTGAACCACAGCTTCATCCCCAGGCTTGAGGTTAAACAGACTGTGGACAAGGCAGTAGCACCCAGCCAGCCTATACTTTAGCTAGGTGATGTATTTAACTCTTTGCCAAACAGAGCTCAGGCAATTCCTCTTTTATCCCATGATGGAAAATTCAGATCACATACCAAGTTATACAAATCCACAACCTCATTTCTCTAAATAAGTATGCTTCATCAAAAAAGGGGGTGCTGCATTTTCCTCAGAGATGTCAAAATGAAAAGCTTGAGTGAATCACATTTGCTTAAGCAGAAGAGAGTAGTAATTGTCTGACATTTAATCCTCAATTTGTTCATTTTTCTCATTATACCGCAGGCTGACGATGTGCATTGCAGTGGTCTTTCAATTAATATGCATCATAATCTGAGAAAACGGACTTGTCTGTGAGGGAATATGCCTGTGGAGATACTGTGTCTGACACAGCACTGTCATGTTTCCTTCCATCAGCTCATGTCATCAGGAAAGTGTACTCAGAGTCTGAGTAGTATGACAATAACAGGAAGTGTGCAGCAGGTAGACCACTGTTTGCAACCAGCGTGGCCTTTTCCAACTGCTAGCACTTCTCTCTGCCAAGAGCTGTGCCAGCGTCTACAGCATCTGTGTCAATAGCATTCCATACCTCTGTTGACAGAAGGCCTCTCTTTGCTTTAGCCACCACAGACCAGTGGTGCGATTTACTGTTTGAGGACAATGTCATAAATCCTCAAGCACTGTCTACTACATGCATTTGTGTCATGAGACCAAGCGCTTGTTTACTTTAAAGTGCATGGCACAGGTCTTGAAGTAGCTGGAGTGTGATAGGCTAATGTAGGGTGGGCTAGTAGTGTGACACAGATTATTTTTCCATGACCACGAAATGACCTCAGCTCTGTGTGCTTGAAGACTCTTGATAAATATTATGCACGCATTCATCTTTTAAGTATAGTAAGCCCCTTTGGATTTAGCTTGTTTTTCAAATAAAAGAAGGCAGAGCTCTACAGACAGTTTGTTTGATAAAGTGTCAGCTACATGCAGTTGGCCTTCAGTTTTCCCATTTGGTCATTTTTTAAAGACATCTTACTTTTATTACTTTTTAAGCTGCCTGTGTTACAGTAAAAGCACAAGCTGGGTTCTAGATTAGTGATAAAAGAGCCACAAGCCTGAAGCCTTACCTCAGCAAGAAACCCAATAAGAATTTCATGTAAGGGATCATATATCATTTAGACTAAACAGGGCAGTAAAAGACTCAAGTGAAATTCAGGCTTTCTGCTGAATGAAAAAACAGAAGGGATTGAGAGGTAAAACTAATGGGCCTTTGATTGACTCAATATAAAGTGAGCCTCAGTGTTGAGATCAGGTAATGCCATATCTGCTACTGCTCATTCATACAAGGAGGGCACATGCTCTCACTTGACTCGCTGAAAACATGATCTCCATCTGTGCTCTCTCTTCAGCTGACTGCCAGCCCCCCTGTCAAAATCGTGGCTCCTGCAGCCGGCCACATACCTGTGTGTGTCGCTCAGGCTTTCAGGGGCCCCGCTGTCAGAAAGTGGCCCCGGAGCAGGTGTACATCCGTGAGGGAGGCTCCCTGAGGCGCATTCAACCCGGCACCAACCCCTTCCAGAAAGACCAAGAACAGAGAAGGCCCTCAGAAAGGCAGGTGGAGACCCCACAACCTGCAGCCACTAGACATCCTGTGTAAGTGATGCAGCTGTGCTTCCTCTTTCTTCTAAATATAGCCAGGAAGAGACTTGCAGCTTTGCCAAATAAGGATGTGTCAAAAAGTCATCACCTCTGAATTATGGCAAATGCATGAGAACACATGCCAGTTCCTCTCTGGTATTTGCCCATTCATCCAGCTTGTTGCTCAAAAGTCAGAACTTTCAAGACAGAGGCTATTGCTGCTTTTCAAAAGCACATGAAAACTCTGTTGAATAGATTCAGTATTTGTGGTTTTTCAACACAGAGATATTTATTTTACCACTAATGTCATGCAGGAAGGCTCACAGAACACAAATGGACACACATGCTATTAGCTATTATATGAACACCCTTGAACAAACAGCAGTTCATTACAATCCTGATGGTTGTGTTTATCATCGGAATAAATAAAACCAGATGACTGGGTTCATATGTTAAATCTTTAATTCATTCTAAGTAAAGCAAACCACAGATATTGCTGCCACTTGTTGTCACGCTTGGAAAAATATTAAGATAAATCTGTAAAATGTAGGAAAATATAACCTGATTTACTAGACAGAAGAATTAACCCATGGTATTTGCTTTGCACATAAAGCAGGAAGAGTATATTTTCTTTGGATTTGATCATTTCAGTTTGTTCTTTGATTTAATTAATGTGACTATAGCATATCCAGCTAATAATTGCTCAGATGAAGGCCTCTTTTAGTGCATTCAGTGAATTCTGTCAAGATGGGCCTAACAGTTTCTTGGCTTGAGTGATTGTTTAACTTCCAGTCTCATTAGAAATAACTTTTTAGTTTAGTTAATCACTTTGCCATGGACATATTCTTGATCAAGAATGCTCAAAGAGAGTAATTGTTTCCGGGAATATTTTGATGGATCGTTATTGCTTACAGGTTCAGGCTTATCTTGTCAAATTGGACTGTATTTTGGACCCAGTGTTTTTTGTTTGGAAGCTGAAGTCATCATTTGCTGTTTGCCAGTTTGTCATCTGGGTAATTACTCTCCACTTAAACAGTCTCAATTGCATCTGCATTTTTAGTGCCCCTCTTGATAATCACGAGGGCCTTGTGTCATTTTGTGCCTTTGGTGGTGTTATGGATTCAATCTGGCTGAGTCATCCCTGTGTTTGTGGTAGCTCAATAAAACTCTACTAAATGTTTTGGCAGATGGGACATAAAATTGTTTTTTAATGCATCCTCCTTCCCGAAACAATTATCTTGTTGTCATAGTAAATCTTCTAATCAATACAAGCCCACAATTGTTATGCATATGTATGTTTGCTTTGTTCTCGAGAGTCACGGGAGGTTTTTGTGTGCTGATTCACAGATCTGTAACAAACAGAAAGAGACGAGGCTACAGGTTCAATGTTTTAAGAAGGAGACGTTGCTTTTGAGTCACAAATGCCCCTGCTATGACTGTTTTCACAATCATGTTTCTGCTGAAGCTGACTAACTGCTTTGTAAGAGGTGCTGTTGAGTCAAGTTGAACAATTTTCCTCTGCAGGAGTACTGCTGGAGTGCCAAGTATGCAGCTTAGACTAATTCAGTTATAAGTTGTTGTAACCAAATGCTTTCCCTGACATTTTCAGGACAGAATAAAAGGTTCTGCCAGAACTGTAAAATTAAACATTAGTCCAAGGGTTATTTGAATACTTGACTCTCTTTCATCGGTGCTTCCAGAAAGCCATTTGAGTGCTTGTGTATGGCACATTTAAAACTCAGCCTTTGTGAACTGCTGCAAATGTTCTGCATTCTCGCAGCCCAGATTGATCTTGTAGGGGTGGAACAGTGTTCTCCCTGGAGGACTAGTGGATGCAAGTCTTGGTTTCATATAACAGCCTGCGGTTCCACTGTTGTCAAAGCCAGGAAAGCACGAGTAATGTGAGGTCACAGAGAGTGAGAACTGGATAAAAAGACAAGACAAATTAGGCTCAATTAAGGGGTAAGAAGAGATATGGGGAGAACACTTAAAACGCAATGACCACCCCATACATGCAGCACACAGCTAGTTTTCTTTCATTTAATCAGTATGTGAGTGAAGATGGTGCTTAACTCAATTTTCAGCAGTCCAGTGCTAATATTTGTGTGGCTAGTCACAGTCTTCTTTAGGTTCTGTCTTGTTATATGTGGATAACTTCAAATTTGATCTCTGGACTGTTTGTGTTGTTTGTGTTTATTCACCCCAAGCAGGCTTGTACCGATGTACAGACATTAGCTGTAAGATAGCAAGCAATTTGATCAGTGTTCAAATTACAGGGTATGTTAGCTCCCCCTGAAAAGAAACCTGAGAATCAACAAAAACTTTAATGCTTGGGCTATCTCAAAAACTGATAAATAACCAGGATTTTATGATAAAATCTTCACCTCCAAAACATGGAACATGTTAGAACATGGAACACTTCTTAGAACTTAAATCAAATTTTGTATCAGGTATTTTATATAGCTAAGCCTTTTATTTTTGTTTGCAAAAACAGATCCATACAGCTGTCCACTGAAGGACCTTAGGATGGACAAAACATATGTTGAGCTTCCTTTTCAGTGAAAATTTTAAGAAATGGAAACACAACTCTATACCATAGATCCTCTTGTGTTCCTGTCTCCTGTCTCTCCCCTGTGACCTTTTCAGCAATACCCCAAATGTCTCAGCTGCCTGTTCTTTGGGATTAAAATAGTAATATTTAAAATAGGTACATCCACCTGCATACAGCTGGCAAACAAATAACAGTTAACTAGTCAGGACCACGCCTATGTGGAACTTTGTGCTGATACTGCTTGGTGACTGTTAATTTGGGAGAAGGCTTCCAGTGAATCTGCGTGGCACTTGGGCGTGGCGGATTCCCCATAGGAAGTAGGAAAAACAGTAGGAAGGAAGAGGAGAGGTGGAGGAGAGTAGAAAGGAAAAGAAAGGACAGAGAAGGACAGGATAGATGTGATAGATGCGGGGTGGGGTGGAGTGGGGGCCATGCATTTGGGGTGTGGTCCTGGTCCTGAACATCTGCTGTTCATCTTCATTTTCCTCCTCTGATCTGTCCAGTGGAACAAATGCATTTCATTGTAACCCAGTTCATGGTGACGAGTGGTTAGCGTTGTTGCTTTGTAGCAAGAAGGTTCCGGGTTCTCTCCAGGTGCTCCAGCTTCCTCCCACAGTCCAAAGACATTCATCTTAGGTTAATTGGTGACTCTAAATTGCCCGTAGGAGTGAGTGTGGGTGTATGTGGTTGTCTGTCTCTAAGTGTCAGCCTTGTGATAGACTGGTAACTTGTCCAGGGTGGACCCTGCCTCTCGACCAATGTCAGCTGGGATTTGCTCCAGCCACCCACAACCCAGTATAGATAGTGAAGGCATGGATGTAATCCAGTTTCTCCTGTGAGTAATGTGCTCAGCAGTAGTGAAAGGCAGGTTCCTGTCAGCATGAGATCCTGTAGATCTCAGCCATTCCATCAGCTACCAGTATGAAGGTCAGGGCCAGCGGTAAGCACTCCTGACTAAGGTGGAACTGGACTAATGCACAGAGGACATATTTACTGCCTCCTATGAGTCCTTCATATCAACTCCACTCCCCCACTGTTCTCTGACAACAGTCCTCTGCAGGAAACAGAGCAGGATGTGTGTGCAGTATGCAGGTCAATCCCCAACAGGTCATCTCTCTCTGACCTGCGTTACATAATCAGACTCAGGACAGTTAGCAACAGCTACCGTGCTGTATAGTGATACTGCAGAGTTCAAATTATCATGGTTTTTGTACTGGAACATAAATATACAGTCTGGTGACTAAACCCCTCACTAAACTCTATTAGGAGGATGACATAAAAAAGATGGCACACTATTAATAAACAGGTATTATCTAGCCTTAGGATGGAGTTTACAGTTATTTACATTGTTAAAACAAAAAGATGGTGCTCCTTATTTCCTCGCCATTTTTTCTGTATTAACTATTACACCCCACATTTGCCTGGTGACTAAAACTGCTGCTGATGATATGTGTCTTGTTGGCTTGAGGCTTGAACATAGCCACACAGCTGTTTCTCAGAGGAAATTGTGGTCATAGCGGGAGTTCTCCATGTTAATAGTGGATCACTGGTTGCTTTCACTTCCACTCTAGGCCATCCGCACTACTAGCCCTGGTAAAGTCCTCTAATCTCAGCACCTGTGTAGAAATACAGCTTTACTGTTATTGCTAGTATTCTTGGTTGTCATGATCACCAAATGTAACAGAAACACAGAGGATGCATTTGACATTGATCAAATACAGAATGTGCGTTCTTATGCTTAAAATATATACCTAAGCATTTAGCCAGCGAGAGTTTGTTTACTGTACAACTTGGCAGTGCTTTGTTATTAAGAGGACATGTCCCGAATCACCCTCTTATCTCCCTTTTTGGCTTCTGCCAAAACAAAGCAGGCCTGCAGATGGGGACTTGGGGTGAAGTGGAGTAGAGGGGTAAAGTGTGGGGTAATTCCCACTGGTTGTATGTGCTGATCTCTCCTGAATAAGGCTCTATTTTTATTCTAAACCAGGCACATGACAATGTGTCTAGAGTTGTGAATTGTATCCCTGCATGGGTGGACAGGGTCATATTAGTTCTCTGCTTGTGGACTGCAAGTGTGTTTGTCTTTTGTGCTGGTGGTACTGACTTGACCTGTGCCCTGACCCTGGTCCCTGGTGAGCATGTTCACTTGTGATATGAATGGGACAGGGGTTTCCGGAGTACAGCTGGAAATCCTCTGCCATGGTTTTGTGACATTTGGGTGAACACTGTGCACCTCTGCTACTGTGGGTTTAACATCAACATGGCAGCTGTGGAGGCCATTCTGTCCTCAGGTGAACTTTCTACATGCTGGAAAAGGCAATAAAAAAAACACATGTTGAATTTTGTATAGCATATAGTGATTGATTTAGCATATCTTACTAACATGTCGATTCTTAAATATGAGGAAGCTAAATATGCAGTAATATTGACTGAGCCAGGCCTGGAAGAGTTGGTGTGTTTATTT